TTTTTCGAACTTAAAGTCGTTTTCAATGGAACAGCCTCCAGGGATGAAGTTCTTCAGGGGAGGTTCCGGGGCCACCTCAGCATTCGTGGACGGGTTAAAAGTTGGAGGGACGGTCTGTTGAGGTATAGATTTCGAAGTCTTCGCCATCAAATTATGGGAAATATGAAGATTTGAAGGTGAGGATGAAGATTTGAAGATGAGGATGAAGATTTGAAGGTCAGAATTGAAAATTTAAGTATGGCATATGAAGATTTGAAGATGGGAAGATGACAATATGAAGATATGTGGAACAAAGTACGAAGATTTGAAAGGGTTAAGAAAAAGTGAAAAGTTTGGGGGTAAGTTAGGGAGTACTGGAATCGGAAATTGAAAAGTGAAAAAAAGGGAACAGAGCTTTTAAAGAGAGGGAATAACCAATGCGTGACATTTCGTATTCGAGGGCAGTCAAGCGGCGGCTGACACGTGTTTGAAGTCAACGCGGCTGATGGGATGTTTCGCTGGCCCGTTGACTCGGTTATAGTGTATGGAAGAAGGAATCGGGGTCAATTAGTCGCTTTCCGTTGCTCCGATAAATCTGCTCCCCGAAAATTGAGGGAACTATCTATCTACGGGTAAAATCGGGGGAAAAGTTTTCCCCGATTCCCCGATAAGGAAACAAGAGGGAAGCACGGCTCGACACCACTACAGGCAAAGCCGAAGAACCCCTCGTATCGAAACTCGGGAGGAGTGAACGATGTATCTGGGATCGAGCATGGTAAAATAAAGGACCCGGACCGAGAAGAGTTTCGAAACCACGGGAAAAGGAGGAACGGTTAGGCATGACAATTAGGGGCCATAATATTCGCCCTTAACCGGATATTACGGTGCGAATCCCGTCCGATATTAACTGCGGAACAGCATTTACCGTATAAAGAAGATTATTACCTTATTTAGACATGTATTAGGACAAAAATTCTCCTACTATATAAAGGGGAGAGTTTCTTTTATTTTGACATGTTGTTGACACGAAAAACAAAGCAATAAAAGTTTATTTTCGTCTTCTAGCTATTACTCAAAGTGTTATTCGGTTATTCTCTTCTTTAATTGCAACGGAGTTTATATCGAGGATCCAATCAAAGGCTGAATTTCAGTATTCAACTTAAGATCTGACTTGATCATCACATTACGATTGGTTCGACCGTTCATTTTTTCTTTAATTTAATTACCTACTATTTTTTTATCAATCGTATTGAATTAAATCACGTATCTTTTAAACCGCGTGCAAATTTAATTGTTACTCATTTTTTTAGGATAAACACATTCAAATATGCGAAAGTTAAGCTTGCTTAAAGGTTGGATTGACCTTGGGATCTCGATAAAGCCTTCTTCTTAATGATTTCATCTTCCAACTTCCCATGAAACTTGTTTAAAGAAAGAAAGAGGAGAAGTCGAAAACTTCCATTTTATATAATACATATATGTGCATAGTGCACGTATACATTGTTTTATTATAAAATATTTACTCGTATTTACTATTTAAATCAACCTAAACATATAAGTCTCTAACATCACTCGATCTTAACTTGCATCTTCTGTGCTCATGAGAATTATTAAACCACTAGTCAAGTTATCCGTGCTTCGCGCGATAAAAAAAAGGGGAATTTTTTCCTTCATATACCATATATGAAACTTTATTACCAAATATGTGCATAGTATCTAAATTACCCGCCTAGTCCATATTTTTCCTACAATTTTTGTACCATTCGTTTATTAGGAGTTAATAGGGCAGAATTTTCCCTTAATCATGCGCTAAAAATCAGGAAAGTATCTTGGGATTGATTGAGTCTACATTAAAATTCTGCCTTAATCACCTGCGAAAAATCAGGAAGCCATTATTGAAGTAAATATTCTTCCAGATATTTTCCACCATTGATAGCCATTAAAAAGCTTGAAAGCTTTGAATTCAAATTTGGGTTTTCAAAAATCATTATTTGTGTGGATTGGGTGTTGTTGAAAATAATCGGGAATATGGTTTGGAGTTTATATCTCAATTTTGAGGGGGTTTTGGTGAAGATTAGACTTGGTTTTGACTGAATTTCAGATTGAAACTCGAAGAAGAAGAAGAAGAAGAAGACAAATTGTAGATAAATTGTAGATAAATTATCGATAAATTATAGATTATTTGTATTCTGATTGTAGATGCTTTATTTTCTGTTTTCACAAATAAAAACGGCTAAAATTTCTACAAATCTTCTGAAAAAACGCAATTATGTCAAAAATCACAATTATGCTACAATTGGATGGGAATTGGGATATAAAAATTTAATGTACCCAGTTTGTAGATAAATTGTAGATTATTTGTATTCTAATTGTAGGTGCTTTATTTTCTGTTTTCACAAATCAAAAACGACTAAAACTTCTACAAATCTTCTGCAAAAAACGCAATTATATTGGAAATGTCAATTATGCTACAATTGAAATGGGAATTGGGATATTAAAATTTAATGTATCCAGTTTGTAGATATTTTGTAGATAAATTGTAGATTATTTGTATTCTGATTGTAGATGCATTGTTTTCTGTTTTCACAAATCCAAAACGACTAAAACTTCTACAAATTTTTCTGCAAAAAATAGTCTATAATTTATCTACAATTTATCTATAATTTTTCTACAATTTATCCACAACACATACTATTTCCCGTGTGTCAGACGCAAAATATGCAAAGCATAAACTTGCAACAAACTAAACACCTTTTCGCAAGCTATTTGGCAAATGGACTATGACATTCTACATCTAGAGAACAATTGTTTCAGATAAAAAGGGAAGCACGATGAAGTAGCATAACATTTCCCCTTGAAATATATGGGATTAGTTGTCAAGGTATTCCAGAACAATTGTTGAAAGAAACGAAAGGAGATCTAAGCCAACTTTTCTAGATAAGGCTATGGCACTAAAACAAAACACCAGATCCAAACATCACAGAGAACTTTCTTCAAACACTTTTTTTATAAGGTTTTTCAAACACGTTATATGCATAAGAGTTATCAACATAGGATCACTCAATTGCAAACTCCAAAAAAAAACGTACATAAATATTGCGTGGGCCCTACTATTTCGTACGTACAAAATTGCAATTTCCATCTCTGTATTTTTTGAGAAGAAGGAATGGAGAAGAGGAAGAAAGGGGAGGGGAAAAACGAGGCAGGTCTTAGGAATTAGGGGGATAGAGAAACAGTGGGATATATGGACACCTTTAACATAATAGACTCCTAATATAACTCAACTAACTCAATTACATCATCATTAACCTGTATTTGACGCGAATATGCTGAAGATTTTTCCCCGGACGATAAATAGAACAAAACAGAGCATCACCGAGTTTCAAATCCTTCCCTTTTCTGTTGATATCGTTCATGGGTGTCTCTGTTTTCAACCAATAAAATTCGAGATTCATCTATAGTGCAAAAACATATGAATACATACTGCAAATACATTTGAATACATATATACTTCAGAATACATAAATAATATTAATTAAAAAAATATATGAATACATTCATGGAATACAGCGAGACAGTGAATAGAATGAAATACATAGAATACAGCGAGATACATTGAAATACAATAAAAAAAAAGACAACGAATACAATGAAATACATAAAAATACAACGAGATACATTGAAATATATTAACAGAATCTTCAAGTTGCTCAACCCCAAACTCCGTCGTCTTTGTTCAAGAACAACCCTAATGTCGTCTCGTTGAGAGGGCCGCGATTCTGACTCGAAACGCCACTGTTCCCGTTTCGATCAAGAACCCAGTCTCGTTTCGATCTGTACTTGGGAGAAGTAGTTCGCCATGGAGTACAAACACCAACAAAAGCAATAAAATCTTCCATCACTTTAACACGCTTTGCAATCGCAGTAATGAGTTCGTGCGGCAACTCTGCCCAGTTCGCCATAGCAGAATTGGGTGGTAGATGAAGGAAGATATAAGGCGGCTTCTAGGGCAAAAATAGCAACAGGAGGATTGTAATGCTTCTAGGGCTGTAAGGATTACAAGACAAAACAATTCGAGGGGATTTATTTAGGAGCAAAAATCTATCAATTTTAACACTTACCACAGCTTTGGAGCAAAAAAATTTGAAAATTTTGCGAGAATATGGAGATGAATCAGTGGAGAATCGTGGTCGTATTCATGGAGAAAGACTGGAGTTGAGAGAGAGAAGGTGGAGAAAAATCTGAAAGAATGAGAGAAAAATAATACAAAGCGTATTTTATGGCTTAAGGGTAGGAGGTGATCATAAATAGATATTTGGCTATAAAAATTAAAAGGTAGCTATGAAATATAATTTTTTAAAGGGTATTTATTTAAAATAAATAAGGTATCAACCTTTGCTATAGGAGGTAACTAAACTCTTTTTTCTGGGACATATTTTTGGGCCATATAATCCCTGGGCCGAAAAAGGGGCCTAAGTAATACTGATCCCAAAGAAAAGGTAGTACATGTATTGGGCTCAGTGAATGTGAGACTGCCCACCCTCAGCAATGGGGCAACTGTATCTAAACTCAGTTTTGGGGTCACAATTGAAATTATACCTACTCTGCACAAAAATTTCATAAAATTGCACGGGGCGCCCTATTTGGTCGCCCCTATTTAACCTATACCCATATTTTTAAAATTATTTAACATATACCNATATATATATATATATATATATATATATATATATATATATATATATATATATATATATATATATATATATATAAAAGAAGCACTGTACTCTGAATTGATCTTGTGAAAGTACAATCAGACTTAAGAAAGACATAATTCGATGTATTGATTTCTTTGTGAACATCCAAGAGCTTATGAGGTTTTCGAGATTATATTACTAAATTAAATAGAGGTTTAAAACGAACAAACAAAAAAAGATTGAGGCAGAAAATAAAGAAAACATATATTTGAATCAGTCGATACCAATTTTATGCTAAACAATACGTAAGAAGAACAATCTTACCGATGGCATCGCAACTCACTATCAGAATTTTATCTCCTGAATAGCCAAAAAAACTCATTTTTGTTAATTCTTTCCCCCGCACAAATTGACTCGGTAACAAAGCCGGGGGAGGATACATACCTTACAACGCTTCTGAAATTTGGATCAATCAAATCCTTATAGTGGATAATGTCTATGATATGAGTGGCTTTGGGGTTTTTTTCTTTTCTGATTTGCTTATTTGTACATTTAAAATTCATCCAAGGTAATTGAGTGACCTTTCATTGGCTGCTACTTTAAAGCTTCATAACGGAATGTGTCTTTAAAAATTGAAACGGTTGTGCCTTTTATAATTGACGGTTAAACTTTTTAAGTATTGATCTAGTAGATAGCAACAAAAAGAAAAAAGGAAGAAAAATAGCAAAAAAAAGGAAAAAGATAAATACCAATGCTAGTCAAAGAGATGTGTCACCTCAGTTTTCTATTGCCAATAGATTCTCCATAATAAAGATCAGAAGATAATTTCTTTAAAAAAGTAATAAGATTCAAAGTATTTACAAATAAGCAAAAATGCAGAAAAGAAAAAGGTATTTTCATTATTAAAAGCATTTTAAGAAAACCCAAAAAAAAAAATTAAAAGGTAAAATAATTTAAAGCAAGTCATATAACCCGGTGGCAAGCCATTTTAACTAGATAGTTTGATGGGAGAAATTCAAAAATAGCCAGATTTACCACTGATCGTTGAAAAATAGCCAAGTTTCAAAAGTCATCGAAATTTAGCCACTTTAAATCTGAGCGAAAACACTGTTCAAAATCCGGAAAAATACTTACGGGAGTTCCAGAATAACTATGCTGGAACTCCCGCAAATTTTAGGGAGTTCAAGCATAATTATGCTGGAACTCCCGTAAATTTTACGGGAGTTCCAGCAAGTATAATTGTCCAGTATAATATACTGGAGTTTGGAGCACTGGTGCTCCAGTCTCCCGCAAATTTTACAGGAGTTAGCAAAGTATACCGGTCCAGCATAATATGCTGGAGTTCGTACACAAATGCACCAGAACTCCCGTATATTATACTGGACCGGTCCCTGTTGCAGCAAAATAGTGGCTATTTTTCATTGACTTAGTAAACGCTGGCTATTTTTCATTGACCAGTGTGAAAACTGGCTATATCATGATATTTTAACTAGTTTGATCCCTTCAATTGGATCAAAAAGTCCAAAAACCAAGAATTTGATGCATCAGCACTTTTTTGGATTTCGCATTTGGACACGATGAGAACTTATGGGACATTGGCTCGCTTACTCAAAACCACTATTAAGCATTAATACAAACAATGGTTCAGCAAAGATTAGGCATGTCGAAGCAGCAAGGAAAAGATAATTAATTAATGGCGACTTTCTGATTCAATGCTAAGAGTAAGAGCCAACAAAAGGAGGTAGTAAGCAGTGTACCCAGCAAGATTGTAGTCGGCCGTTACAATTTGAAGTCGGATATTCAATTTTTCAGAAATTATTTTACAAGTAAAATTCATAAAACTATTTACATAACCAAATTACTGTGAAGCTAATTGCATGTACATGTATACGCAATACGCTAAACGTAAGCTGATAACTTTAAAAAGGTGCATAACATATTAAAATACGGAAAATATATTTGGCCAAACTAAGAATGGCCCAAATGTCCAGAATGGGGGTATTATGGTAATTTCGCACGGCTTTTGAGGGCATAATGGATATTTAAGCATTTTCGTTTTCCAGATTTACCCTTTAGCAGATTTGTTTTTTAATTTAATTTTTTCCCTCCAATTCTCTCTCATTAGTTTAATTGTCTTACCTTCCCTATGCTTCTTTCACATTTACACATGTGTTTAACCAAAAAATAGAATTTTGGTTAAAACTAGAAATTAAGAAGAAAAATCGGGTTACTGATAATCAGGAGACGAAAAGAATAAGAAATTTTTGAAGATAATAAAGCAGTAAATAAGTTTGTATTTCAATGTAATCTCAATGATCTCCTCTTCCTTTATAAATGCTGAGACCTCCTCCTTTTATAGTTGATTTTTTTAGGAAAAGGTATAATGCCTTAGCCTTAAAGAGGCAATTATGAGCATTAAATGACATTAAATGAAACGTTACACAATCATTCCTAATCAATACTGATTCGTTAACGTATTTGACATTTAATACTGAATTTAGACTCCTTTATGCCATCAGATTCATATCTTCAATTCCTTCTGACCTCCTGACTTTAATTAAGTTAAATAGATACGAGACTCGTATCATTTGAATAGCATCTCGTGCCTATTTAACTTTCTTCTCCTCGTATCTGATATCTCCCGTGCCTCTTAATTGCTCATCATGTTTTGACCATTTGACCAGTCTACGTGTCATGCCACGTCACCTTCAATTATAAATTCAGTTTTTTTCCAATACAGATAGTCCCCCCACTTTCCATTTATTTATCAATTAAATATCTGGGAAGTGGATCTTCACTAAAAAGGGAATTTTTGCCATAATCAATGCTATGACAGTGTCGACGCTTCAATTGTCTCTTCTATTTAATGCACCATATACATGTCACCTTCTCATTAGTTCTGCGATTTTGCAACCTTTTTCTAAGGCTTTTTTAACTCCACTATTCACGAAGTGATAGTTGCCTTTATTATAGGCTTTCCATCATTACACTTCTTAATTATCGACGGTTGAGTTTATATATAAACTTGCCCCCTTTTTCCTTTGTCTTCTTCTTCACAAGCTTTTTACCAAATTTCTTGCTATTTACTCTCGTTCACTTCTTCTTCAGTTTATATCTTCAGTTTATATCTTCTGTTCATATCTTCTCACTATGTCGTCTTCGAATCCTAACCCTAAAAGAGTTCCAATTCTTGATAGTTTCCCCAATGCTCCTGCTAGATATAGAAGAGGTAGAGGAGGTGTGCTTCGTGGTACAGGGTCGGTTCGTGGTGGTACCTCTGGTTCTATCACTCCTTCTTCTAGTTCTGGCAATATCTCTAGAGGCTCTCTTTCTAACAGATCCACTTCTAAGGGCAAAGAATCTTCTGAGTCTAACCAAGAGCCTCTGGTTGAAGAAATTGTGCCAACAGATTTATCTTTCGAACATGACAAAGAATCCCTTCGTGACCAAGTGATTAAATTAGAGAGAGCTGATAAATATCCCTCTTTAATTACTGAACCTTTGATTCAAATTGTTCGAAGAGACTGTCGTTGGAGAGATGACACCCACATAGTTATTCCTACCCCACACCAAAGAATATCTTCTTATAGGGTTGGCTTTTCTTTCGTTTACGCTTATCCCTTTACTTTGGTATTTATTCCTGCTATTGATCCAGTCATACTTGATTTCTGTCGTTTTTTCAAAATTTGTTTGGCTCAAGTTGGCTTGCAAATTTCCTCTGATAAGGTTCGTGCCTTAGAGGATTCTCGTGCCTCCCTTGAAGCTACCCTTGATTCCACTTTGGCTGAAAATCAAATGTTAAAAAATGATCTTGCCTCGTGGGAAAGGGATTATGAGCTTCTTGAGGAGAACTTTAACACAGAGGTGAGCTGGCCCTTTCTAAACTCCCGCCGTGATGCCTTAACTGAGGCCAGTCAAGAAAACTTTGACTTAGAATCGGAATTGGCCAAGGTTTTGAGAACCATTGAAATGACTCAACAACCACTTGACTTTCCTTCTCCAGCAGATGAAACTCCCGTGGCTGAGGAACCTTTAAATGAAGGAGCCGCTTCTGTTGAAGTTGAAAATGTTACAATTCCAGCTCCCGAGAGTGAAACTTCACTTATACGGTCCGTGGAAGCTGAAGCTCCCGTGACTCTTGCTTCCCTCGGTGACTTAAACACTTCAAGCCCAACTGCCGCTACTTCCTCAGAAATTGCTACCGTGCCTACAGCTGCTCCTGAAAGTGAAGTTGACATTGCAACTTCAGAAGTTCCAACCCCTTTAGTGACAAGTTGAATATTTCACTCCTTTGTTTTTTTTTTTTATTAATTGGTGGTTTTATCCCTTGACCTTTTTAAGGAATTTTTTTTTGGTTAAGTCCCCAGTTATCATAATGGGGCACTTGTAAAAATATTTTGCAAGAAGTTTTCTTGGTACTTCAATATGTTTTATTCTTGCCTTTTTCTTATCTATTTAGCATTTTTAAACTTTGAAAATACTTTATGATTCTTCTCATGACTTATTAACATGAGGTTTATAAAAGAGGGCCCTTTTATATATATCGACACTTAATGAAGAAGACGTCTCAACTTCATAATGGTGTTATAATACGATGAAAGATATAGGAATACACATGTTTTGTATGCCACAACTTTGACAAGTTTTTATTCATGAACTTGAACAAGCTTTTGAGTATTACATGTATTAAAGTACATCTATAACTTTCTCGTAACTGTTTTTCTTGTAACAGATTTTTACAAAGTAAATATAATTTAGACAAGGTTTTCCCTTATAACCCGTTTCAGTATATAGTCATGACCCCATCTTCATGTATTAGGAAGGGTTTGACAGGTGACTCTATTGTTCTCATGAGTTTGTGAGGTGACTCTGTTGTTCTCATGGGAAAGAATACTATGATGTATGCTTATGCTGGGATTCCATAACCTCTGCTCGACACTTGTCTCTTGATTTATGCATCTATTTTCCGCACGTATCTGTTCTGTGTTCATTATACAGTCCCCCAAGTGTTTGAGCGGTGAAGTATGAAGCCTCGAGCACTTGTTTTTCCTCTTAACTTGGTCCTTTTCCTGAAACAGAAAAATTTGCGGGACTCGGAGGTTCGATTAGAGATGAAGACTGCCTAACCCATGTGTATTTCCATCAGATTAATTGTAATCATGGGCTGGGAATTTAAGAATATTCCATTTTGCCGTACAGGTCGTGACTCATCATTTGGCACGAGTTAGGGTTTTTGCCTAGCATCTAAAATCGTTAGTAAAATTATTAATGATTAAAAAATGAATTTTAACATAGAGATACCTGACCGTGGATACTTTTTTCAAAAAGTAGTATCTTTTTAGATGAACTGCATTCCAATGTGAAGGAAGCACCTTCCCGTCCATTGTTTCCAACTCGTATGCTCCTTTTCCTGCAATATCTCGAACTCTGTAGGGTCCTTCCCATGTTGGACTCATCTTTCCTGAATTAGCAGCCTTTGTAGATTGGAACACCTTTTTAAGCACGAAGTCCCCAATTTTAAAGAATCTGAGGCGTGCTTTCCTGTTATAATATCGTTCAATTACTTGCTTTTGTGCCGCCATTCTTATTAGTGCAGCTTCTCTTCTTCCCTCTAACAAATCAAGATTCACCCGCA